TCTATTATATTTCATGTTGTACCCAAAATATCTGATCACAAGATATGATGTAACCACATACTAAATCTCAGCTCAAATGGACGGATAATGCTCAAAGCACATAAATAATCCTATGATAGGCCCAATTGATCATCGTTAGGGTTGTCGATCGCTTAATCGCCCATGGCGATCACCCGTGGAAGCTTCCCTGGCGATCACCCGCGGAAGCTTCCCAAAGAAACTGACGATCGTCCTGACCGTCCGACGACGTCCTATTTGGCAGAATTTCATATTTCATCATTTGGCTTGAATTATTTTAAATTTACTTAAAATTCATAAACAATTAGCCTTGAAATTATCCATAAATATACAGATATTTATGACCATTTTTATAAGTAGGTTTCAATATAATTTCTAATTATAGACATGACCGCCGGGGACAAGCTTACCGGCTTCCCCAGCTCGTGATTCTCCCGATAATTTTCCTGCACTTCTGCCTGGCGGCAACACTCTGTGCCGACACGCTGCCGCCACCACCGGTAAATTGTAACTGAAGTTGGGTTGTGTTTTAGCTTGTAACTTTGCTTCTGCTTCCCTTTCGACGTTAGAAAATGAACCGTATGGCAGAAAATGTATACCATACACCAACTAAAAGGCTGGTTTGATTTTTTTCCACCCAAATGTTACATTACACTTTATTTAAAAGTACAAATATTCATTTTGGCTATGTAACTCCAGAGAATTTCCTTTTTCTTCCTTTTTTTTCTTTCCTTTTTGTGACAATCAAAGTTGTATTCCTCTATTTGAAAACTGGTTGTTCTAAAACATAAAACCACACAGAATCTGCTATATATTCTCATTTCTCTATCATCAGCATATCAAATATTCGCATTCTTGCAGACGAGATAGAACCTCCTGACAGCTAGGCCGTTCTTCGGGTTCTGCCCAGCAATCTATCCAAAAAAATAAAAAAGATCATTAACTTATCAAACGAATAACTAATAATCCTCAAAAAAGACCAAACATCACTAATGAACTCAGCAAATTCCACAAATACCAGCTATCAGCTTGCCCAGAGGACCTTCTGGAATTTCCAGCCTCTGCCCATCATTGCCAACATTAAAAACAACCTGCTTATCAACAAAAATATTGCGAATTTTAGATTCCCGTTGGCTTTACTTTATTACATTTATGTTTTGTTCTTCTGATTTTAAAGGGGCTTATTATAAGTTGTACCTGAACTGATGGTACACCTTCCCACGGTCTGTTGAGCGTGCAAAGCTCCCACATGATGACACCTAGGCTGAAAATATCGCACTTCTCTGTAAAGGGTTCGTTTCGGATGAGTTCGGGAGCCATCCATTCAGGTGTTCCGGCTGAGGAAGTGTCTTTCATGGGCCGGGTCGTGAGTACCCGGGATAGCCCGAAATCACATATCTTGGCTGTCCAGTGCTTATTCACCAAGCAATTCGCGCTCTTTAAATCACGATGCACGATTTTCATCCGATGGATGCTCATGAGCCCCCTACAGTCGTCCAAAGCAATTATATTTTTTTCAGAAAAATCCAATCATTCTTAACCAATCATTATTTTTAACTCAAATATAACTCAACCCCACTATCCTCAATATTACCAATATAATTAAATAATATCACTAAATCATTCTTACACATTACATCAACTTTAATTCACTATCATTCACTCACATACTTTTATTTAACAATCACTTCACATCATCTCTCTCCGACTTTAACATCAAATCAACTTTAATTATTTTATTTTAAATATTATTTTAATATAAACTCAAAATCCCCCAAACAACTAACCATACCACTTTTTTCAAATTAACCTAAAAAACTCATTTTGAGAGTAATCAGTCTGATCGCATGAAGAAGCTCTTGCATTTCCTAGATAAAACTCCTGACAAATTCAGTTATTCTGAGCATACAAAAATATTAGATCCTAGAATATTCAAACTAAACATGAAAAATAACGTAGAACTCTAAAAAATAAAGCAGGAGTTAGATCCATCTTCCATCTTATGTTTTTACTTTCCATTCTCTTTTCTGATTTCCTAATTTTCTAATTAATATAGAAGCAAAGGATCAGAATACGGAAAAATTCAGTATAGCACACCTGCATATATCACAAAGCATTTTGAGTCTCTTTTTCCAGCTAAGCTTTTTTTTCAGCCCACTTCCATGGATCAAGAAATATAGTGATCCCATCTCCATATATTCAGTAACTAAGGAGAGGCGAGGGGGAGTCGTACAAGCTCCAAGGAATAATATAACTGCTCGGAGAAGAGCGCGCACATGTACTAAGAGATATAATAAAAATTGATAGTGAAAAAAGGAATTAAAACATTAAAAAGTAGTAGTTAGTACCATTTGGATGACGAGTGCGGCTGCAGGAATGAAAAAAGGAGATTATTATTTTAGTAAATAAAGAAGTCACTATCTTCTCACTAAGGCATAAATGCTGAATTTTCAGAACACCAGAGGATAAAAGAAATATTATTACCTCAAGATTGATATTTCATTGCAAAAATCTTCAATATTCTCAACATTGAGATCTTGTTCCAGGAACAATTTGATTGCAACCTCTAATCCATTCCAAGTGCCGCGAAAAACTTCCCCGAAAAATCCTAAAAGAATAAAAAGGTAGAAATAAATAACACGGTGAAATCAAATGTCAAGTAGCATCTCTCGTTTAGTTCACCAAAGCACCCAAACGTACTATAGATACTTTGTCGAGCAATTATTGGCTGGAGGAGGATTTCTCCACAAAATTTCCAATTCAAATGATCAAAGAACTTAAAATTAAGAGTTCTCGTGGAAGTTATCGGTTTTTTAAAAAACTAATATTAACAATCGGTTTTCCATGGATCTTTGCTGTTCCCTTCAGCAGATACATTTATCGAACAGCTATTTAACAATTCAAGAACAGTATGCCTGGAAAACAAGAGAACTGTAATGAAAAATTACTCTGTTTATACATGTAGGGAAAACGCATGGATATAAATTTAAGCAAATAATATCTAGACTTTCCTTCTAACATACGGAAAAATGAAAATAGCCTGAAATATCTGTTAACCCATTACAGATAAAAAGAATTTTAAACCAAACCAATCAAGGACTATCTAAAAAAGATACAACAATATCCACGACTAATCAAGTATCACAGTTGACAGAAAAAAAGCCAAGAATAACTTACCGATTCCTACCCGAGTTCCGATGGTTATCTCGGAAAAATCGATGTTCCATTCTGGGAAGGGTAACAATGGCTTGTTCACAATCGTTGATGATTCAAGGACTTTATTAAATGCTGCCATTATATCAGAACTCTCCAAATTTTCTGATGCATCATCCCTAAGAGAAGCTTCATGGGTACAATGTTGAGGAGATGAAGGCAATGATATTGCCTTTTGAAGACTTATTTGTTTTGATGGGAAATTATATGACAAAGGTTTAGGACCATATATTCCATCGCGGCTACCAGAACTCTGCCCCGACACCTGCAAAAGAGAAAAATATAATACAATAAAGATGGTCAATTTTAGGGAGATCCAGGACAAGATTACAAGACACGCAGTCTTATTCATGCAAAAAGGAAAAAGAAAAAAAAGTCAAAAGCGAAGATAGATTACAGGACAATCAAAAAATAATTTAGGACTGTTCAAGCAACCCACGATCTATCACCTACATTTTGACAGCTACTTACATTCCAAAAATAAGATATAGAAACCCACCATGGCAATACTAACGCACAGAGAAGAAAATGGAAAACTATTGTCTCATATAAGAAACTCTTCAGGCAAATCTTTGAACCCAAAGGAAAGGATCAATTCGACTGGAAATAAAAACAAAATTTAATCCCGGTATGTAAACAGCGTAATGTCATTAAACCATCACAAACAAAGTATTGACAGAAGCATACGCTTTCACGGATGTCTGAGTTGTCATCCTTCCCACTTGTCGAACTATGACTTAAATTTACTTGTTCTTCTGGAAGTCGGTTTTTCTTGAGAGCTTCACTCATCCTTCGAACAGCTCTGAATTTAAATTTTCCAGAATCAAGTTATTATTTCGACAGAAGAATGCATGTTTAGCAAAACTGAAGACACAACTACGAAGTGCTCGATGACAAAGATATTTCAGGTGTGATTGGATATATTTCTAAAACCATTATCTCATCCACAAATAAAAAAAAAA